TGTTTGTGTATAGGAAGGCTACTGATTTTTGCATTGATTTTGTATTCTGCCACTTTACTAAACTGATTGATTGGTTGAATTAGTTTTTCTGTGTTGTTTTTGGGGTTCTCTATGCATATTATCATATCATCTGCAAATAGTGATAGTTTAACTTCTTCCTTGCCTATTTGGATTCCTTGTATATCTTTCTCTTGTCTTATTGCTCTGGCTAGGATATTAGTATTATATATTAAAAAGCAGTGGTGAGAGTGGACATCCTTGTCTTGTTCCAGATCTTAGTGGAAATGCTTTCAGCATTTCGCCATTGAAAATGATACTGGCTGTTGGCTTGTCATATGTGGCCTTTATGATGTTGAGGTATGTTCCTTGTATCCCAAGAATTTCAAGGGCTTTTATCATGAATGGGTGTTGTGCTTTGTTGAAAGCTTTCTCAGCATCTATTGATGTTATCATATGGTTTTTATATTTCTTTTTGTTGATGTGGTTGGATAACGTTGATTGATGTTTGGATGTTGAACCATCCTTGTGTCCCTGGAATGAATCCTACTTGGTCGTGGTGCATTATCTTATGGATATGTTGTTGGATTTTGATAGCTAAAATTTTATTGAGGATTTTTGCATCAGTGTTCATTAGGGAGATTTGCCTGTAGTTTTCTTTTTTGTGTGTTGTCCTTGTTCGGTTTTGGTATTAGTGTAATGTTGGCTTCATAGAACGTGTTTGGTATTATCCCTTCCTTCTCAATTTTTTGTAAGAGTTTGTGAAGGATAGGCACTAATTGGTCTCTGAATGCTTGGTAGAATTCATTTGTAAATCCATCAGGTCCTGGGCTTTTGTTTTTGGGGAGGTTTTTGATTACCATTTCAATTTTGCTGATTGTAATTGGTCTGTTTAGGTGTTCTATTTCTTCTTTATCTAGCTTTGGGTGATTGTAGAGTTGTAGGAATTTGTCCATCTCTTCTAGATTGTTGAACTTGTTTCCATATAACTGTTCATAGTAGTTTCTGATTATTCTTTTGATTTCTGCTGTGTCAATTGTGGTTTCTCCTCTTTCATTTGTGATCCTGGTTATTTGTGCTTTCTCCCATTTTTCCTTTGTGAGCATGGCTAGGGTTTTGTCTATTTCATTGATTTTTTTCAAAGAACCGGCTTTTGGTTTCAATGATCTTTTGGATTGTTTTTTTAGTTTTGATTTCATTTATTTCTGCTTTGGTTTTTATTATTTCTTTTCTTCTACTGGTTTTAAGGGTTTTTTGTTGTTCTTTTTCTAGTTCTTTCAGCTCTGAGATTAGGTTGTTTCTTTGAGTTCTTTCTTGTTTCTTGATGTGAGCCTCTATTGCTATATATTTTCCTCTTATTACTGCTTTTGCTGCATCCCATACATTTAGGAAATTGGTGTCCTCCTTGTCCTTCAACTCAAAGAATTTTTTAATTTCTTCTTTGATGTCCTCATTAGTCCAGTGGTCTTCCAGTAGTGTGGGTTTCAATCTTCACAAGGTAGGAGAGTTCCTTGCCTTCTTTTTATGGTTTATTTCTAGTTTGATGCCTTCATGGTCAGAGAAGATGGTTGGTATGATTTTAATCTTGGTGTATCTGTTGATGTTTGTCTTGTGACCCAGTATGTGATAGATCCTGTAGAATGATCCATGTGTGTTTGAGAAAAATGTGTACTCAGATTTTTTGGGGGTTAGTGTTCTATAGATATCTGTTAAGCCCAAGCGCTCTAGATCCTTATTTAGAGCTTTCGTGTCTTTACTTATTTTTTGTCTCATTGATCTATCCATTGTTGATAGTGGTGTGTTGAAGTCTCCTACTACATATGTGTTTTCTCTGATGTCTGTTTTCAAAGATGATAATAGTTGTCTGATATATTTTGGTGCTCCTTCATTTGGTGAGTATATGTTAATGAGTGTTATTTCTTCTTGAAGTATTGTCTCCTTGATCATAATGTAGTGACCGTTGGGGTCTCTTTTTCCCTTTTTGAGTTTGAAATCTGTTTTATGTGATATGAATATAGCTGTTCCTGCTTTCTTTTTTGGTCCATTTGCTTGTAGGATTGTTTTCCATCCTTTAACTTTGAGTCTATTTTTATCTTTTGTAGTTAAATGTGTTTCCTGGAGACAGCAAAAGGTTGAGTTTTGTTTCTTCATCCAACCTTTGACTCTGTGTCTTTTTATTGAAGCGTTTAGTTCATTTACATTTATAGTTATATTGATATGTTAGCATCTGTATTTGCCATTGTGTTTGTCTTTCCTCTGGATTTATTTATTTATTCTTTTAATAACTTTTTTTTTTTGGCCTTCTTTCCTTGTTATTCATCCCTCTGTTGGTTTTGGCTTTAGGACTCCTTGTAGTATTTTTTGGAGTGGGGGTTAAGTCGTAATGAAATTCCAGATTTCTGTTTATCTGGGAAGATCCTTATTCTTTCTTCATCATAGAGGAAAGAAAGCTTTGCGGGATAGAGTATTCTTGGTTGGCATTTGTTGTCTTAGAGTCTGTTGACTATGTCCCTCCACTCTCTCCTTGCCCGTGGTGTTTCTTCGGAGAAGTCTGCTTCAGTCTGATTGGTTTTTCTTTGAATGTTATCTGTTTCTTCCTTCTTGTCAGCTTCATTATTTTTTCCTTGTCTTGGATTCTTGGGAGCTTTACTATTATGTGTCTTGCTGTATTTTTCCTCTCATCATGGAATTTTAGTGTTCTTCTTGCTTCTTGTATATCAATTTTCAGCTCCTTCTTCACGTTTGGGAAGTTCTCTTCAATTATTTCCTTGAATATTTTCTCTGTTCCTACATCTCTCTCCTCTCCTTCTGGGATTCCTATAACTCTTATATTTCCTTTCCTCATGGAGTCAGATAGTTCCCGAAGTCTTTCTTTGGTCTTTTTCCTTAGTACTTCTTCCTTTTTTGTTTTGGTTCTTTTTATTTCTGTGTCTTCAAGAGGACTTATTCATTCTTCATTTCATCTATTTTGCTTTCACTGCTTTTCCCAGAGTTCTTTAGCTCCTCCATTAATTATTTGATCTCCTGCATTTCTTTTACTTCCCTCTTTAGCAACTGAATTTCATTCTTCTGATCACTGATTATTTTTCCCATGTTATTTTTGACTTCCGTCATATTTTTAATCATGGCAATTTTAAATTCTCTTTCTGGAAGGCTCAGAAGTTCTTCTAAGTCACTGTCATTGCAATCTGGTGGGTGGTATTCCTTTGTGGTGTGTCTTTTTCCTGAGGAGTTGCTAGGTTGCATGTAGTTTTTCTTCTCCCTGCTGCCTGTTTTCTAATTTGCCGTATGCGTTGGGACACTGTGTCACTGGTACTGGCCGGCATCTTTTTGGTGTGCTCTTTCTGGGATTTTGGAAACTGGTGGTCCAAACGAGTCAAATACTGTTATGCCAGAAGTCTAGTGAGGCAGTGGTACTTTGAGTACTTTGAGTATGTTAATGGTCACTGTCACAGAATATCTCCTCCTTCTGTGTTTAATTACAATGGTGTGTCTTGAAGTCCCACAAACTTACCTGGAGGTGAGGCAGCTGGATTGCACTCTGGGTTCCAAATCACCTGATTCTGCTCTGGGCTCTGACTTCCTGCCAGGCGGGACCAGGCTTGTGGGGGGTCTTCAGCTCACCTCTGACTGCGTAGGGAACCTTCTCCCTTTGGCTCTGCAGGGAGCCTTCTGCCGGTTTCAAGCAGTCTTTATTGAAGAAAGGTTCCTGTTCTAAAATGGCGAGTCGGAGACGCACTCCCCTGTGCGCCCGGTCTGCCCCCGCGGTGGGTGCTGCTCCCCCTCTGGGCTCAAACTGCTGCTTGGTGTGGGTGAACTTCCTAGCTTACCTCTGGCTCCGCCAGGCAATGTGATGTTATTTTTAATGAAAGGAACCAAAATAAATAACACCCTCATTGAATGACTAGTACTTGCTAAAAACTGGACTATATGCTGTGGATAAAGATGAAAAGATATGCTTAGTGATATATAAGATTTATAAAGTTTTCCCTAGTGATGTAAAATATGTACAATTAATATGTTTCATTGAGATGTTATTAAGGAGAAAAGTATTAATACCTAGTAGATGCTTTATATGTGTACCTTGTCCAATCTACTAATCATATGAAGATTATTCTCTTTAACAGACATGGGACTAAGTCTCAGAAAACCTATCAACTTGCCCAGAGCGACATAATAAGTGATTGAAGCTTATTAGACTAATTAGAGGTCCATACTCAGTCATTTAACCAGAATTTATTAGCACAGACTAAATAACAGGAATTGTTTTAGATTAGGGAAACTGACATGAATAAAACAAAGATCTTACTCTCATGGAGTTTCATTCTATTGTGAGGCGTCCCCCAAATATCATGGGAGAATGTAGAGTGGCCCAAGTAGATTCTGTTTATAGAGTGGGTTTGTGTCACAGCTGAGGGAACCCCAAATTAGGAAACCACAGAAATAAACGTCAAATGGTGTGTTAGAAGTACCATTTTTTGAAAAGGCTTTAGTTTCTCTATTTTATGCTTTTAAGTATTATATATTTAGATGTTTCTGAACATTTGCAATGATACAAAATACTGCATTATGTTTTAGTGCATATTAATTTTTTAATTTCTTTTGAACTATCTCCTTAGAATAAATTCAAAGGAGTGGGTCATAAGATAGTAACATCATCCTTGCTATCTTTTTATGTTATTTTCTCTCAAACTGTGCAGACAGTTTTCAATGGATGAGTTTACTGATTCATTTCAAACTCAAACTCATTGGCGTTAGTTGTTATGGTTTTTAAATAAGAGTTTTTTTTTTTAAGTAGGTGGAAAACAAAGATTAAGTATGCCCTTATTACCATTTACTTGATATTTCTTGATGTACACATTTTTATATTCATTTATTATTTTTTCCCTCCAGTGTTAGCTACCTGTTCATTTGTGTGTGTGGTGTGTGTGTGTGTGCCTGCTAAAGCTCACTGTTAAATTATCTGGATCTAAGTTTTAGGAAGAATGATGATTTTTTTCTAGGTTTTTATGTATTAGAGACACTGGAGTCATCCCAGATGGCAGCTTCAGGTAGAGTTCTCCTGGTAAGACTGAGAAACAAGGAGAGAGGGGGACTTTTTCAAGCTCATATCCTGGCACTGAGGATTCTCCCCGCCTCCACCCTGGAGAGGTGAGTCTAATAGAGCCGCCATTGATGACATTCTGTCTTTCAATAGGTGTCTATCTATGCCTGCCACGTGCCAGGCTGTTGTGTTTACTGCCATCCACATGGAAAAGTAAATGTCTAGTTATACTGTATTATAAGTATGATAAAATATGGTGCCATAAGAGACAATAATGAGGAAAGAATGAGTGTTTGTAATTCTCGTTTAGATCAAGGGAACTTTTGTAAGTGGAATTTTACCTAAAACCCGAAGGAAGCCACAAGGTATCTACCATGTCATATTTCCTGTAGAAACATGTTAAATTGCTATCACTGCAACTACAAGGGCAACTTGTTCAGCTGAGCCATAATATCCTGTGGGTCAGGAAGTTCCTTTCATCTCAGTGTCACTCAAGATGGCTATGCTGCATCAGAAGGATGAAAGAATAGCGTTCTTCCTTAAGTTCCTAACATACTTGGTTACTTAGTGGGATGTTGGAAATACATGCACTTGTTCGAGGATCAAATAAGAAGATAATCACTGTGTGTCATTTCTCCCATTTTTTTCTGTATGATTGAAATAGTTACAATAATGAACATTTGGGGAAACTACTCTCTCCTGATTTTATGGAGCATGCTGTAAAAGCAGCTAACACAGCATAATACACAATGCAGTCATAATGCAGTTGCATAAAAGCAATATCAAATCACATAAATGCATCATAAAGAGCCCTTTATCTGTACACAATATCTCCTATCTCAAAAGAAAAATGAGAACCAGTGTCTTATAACTGACTACATTTATTTTTCTAACTTTGATTATCACTTCTGTCATTTGGCTTATCCATTTAAACTTATTAAGTGGACACTTGGGCGCCCAGTCTCCTTGAGAGGTAAGGAAATTTTAAAGCCATCTTGCTGTTACTGTTAATTTAAATATCCTCAAATGTCCATATGGCACTGAAACAAGAATATAACCATGTGCTTTTATTTTCTGAACATTTAGCAGTTTATTTCATATTCTGTATGTAACTCTATTATGTTTCATAGTATCTAAGGCTACATGCTTACACAGTCTATTGCCAGAAAGAATGCAAACATTCTTAGAGTCCAGAGAATGGTGCAGAATTTTTTTTCTTTTACTGTTCTCTTTGGACTTTTGTGTGTGTGTGTGTGTGTGTTCTTTTTTTAATTTTTTCTTTAAATTTTATTTATACAAGCACTGGGTACAGTGAGAAGTGCGGGAGGGTGAGAGAATTCACCAGAACCAGAGCGGGGAGCAGAGCAGGCAGAAGGACCGAAGTACACTGCTGAGGGGAGCAGCGAGTGGCAGGAGAGGTCTGTGTGCCATGTGGGACCCTCCCTGGTGGCCGGGAAGCAGCCGGGGATCGAACCAGCACAGCAAAGGCTGCGGGCAGCTTCGCAACCCAGCGCTCAACTGCTGCGCCACCGGGGAGGCCCTCTCTTCTGGCTTTTTAAAAACCTGGCTGAGTCAGTTTTAGAATTTTCCTTTCCCCCTTTTTTACCCCTCTCCCTTCCTATGTGGTTAGATCTGGGGAAACCACTCTTCCTGGGTCTTCTCTGGAAGGCAATGAGGAATCAGAATTGGTGGCACCTCACAGACCTCCATGGAATTTGGCTTAAACTTTTCAGATCCTTTGGAGTGGAATCTGTTTAAATATAAAATCAGCCAGCTTCTCTAGTGTTATATTAACACTCATTGCATATGTCAAAAAGGACACTCTCCTGAGAGGAAGGGAAAGACTGAGAGGAAAAGAAGAGGTACAGGGGACAGAGAACCTGAACTAGTAACAGATGATCTTCCAGGGTTCTTTGTTAGTTTTTTTTTTTTTTTTCAGATTAGTAAATGGTGTTTTAATGATGAAAACTTGCTTATAAGGCTAGTCTTGAGTGATCATAAGACGTAGTTCTCTCCACTGCCTTCTGTCACATCTAGACCCTTAACTGGGTCTAGTGACATATACTAGATAGAATCAACACACTGTGCTTTTCTTTCCAGAAGTGGGGAGTAGTTTTATTTTGGGATTTATTCTCATGTAAAAGGTCACCCCGACACTGAGCTGGATGTATACTTTAATTCTTAAAAGTCTGATCCATCATTGAAAAATGTATTGGTGATATTGTTCAAGCGAACATCATGCTGCATTAAAACTAACTTTTGCAAAACAGAAGTTGTCTAAATTGTCTATGTATTCATGTATACCTAATTTCTAGATTTTTTTTTAAAATGGCATTTTAAAGTTACATAATGGTTAAGAAATGGTTGTACCCATTTCTCTTATCATTATCTTAATTATACTATGTATAATCATTGTTTTTCAAAGAGACAGCCAAGTAGGCTTTATATCATGCTTTTACTCCACGAACTGAAGAACTTTTTCCTTTGTAAACTATATAAAAAATGTTACATATTTTGTACTAAAACAATAGCTGTTTTTTCCCCCGAGTGCTAAAGAATCTCTTTTATCTTCTGGCACCCTTTCAAGCTCATTACTGCTTCAACATTTTAACTTGTCACTTTTCCATCTCATCTAGTTGCATTTCATCATCTTTGATAAATCTTAAGGTTTTCTATAAAAAATCCATTCTTGAGATTCAGAAAACTTTGAATCTATTTTTCTTGGCCGATTTCATAAAATAAATCAATAAAAGGATAATCACACTTTAAGTAAAATATTTGTCCATATTTCAGGGTTTTATTTTAAAATAAAACTTGTTTCCAACTTTGTTTCTGCTATATAATGTCTTTATTTTCCTGCCCTTGAATCTATTTGGGGATGCTAATCTTCCTTAATATCCTGTCAGAGACAAAGACCAGAAGTCCCTTGGGAATCCAGAATTTCCAATATTGGATGCTGCTGAAAAATATAGATTCAGAACCATTCAACATATGAATTGGCAGTTCTTCTACGACCTTCATTTATTTTCTCTTTTTACCCAACTTCAGTAATTTCTCTTCCTTGAACTTTTATTTTCATGCAACTTTTAGGTTTTCTGAGTATAATGCTGTGAATTACTGGTATTGTTCTTGTACTTTGAAGGTGAAGGAACAACTGATTTTAAATGTGTTTGTTCAAGGCTGCAAGGTGGGTCTTCTTCATCCTGAGGTCCCCAGGTCTGCAAGGTCTGACAAAAATGGCTAGAACACAGTCAGTGTATTCTGTTCAGCCTACAGATGACATTTTATTTTCAAAGGATCATTGCTGAGAGGGGCCAGAGCTTTTCATGTTGAACCTACCTTGTGCACAGCTGGAGCAATCACCTCCACAGGAACAACCCTCATTTGCTTAAGCTCCTTTCTTCTACATCATTTGTTTAAACAGATTAGAAGAGTACTCCTCTCTTTACTAGCTCATCTCTTGATTTGTATAGAATAATATCAGTTTCAAAATCTTTGACCTCTTTCAAAGGCTTCTGTGGTTTTAGAATTCTGTTTTGAAGATGTTACAAGGTCAGCTGGAAAAATCAGGCATCTAGCTAGGTTCCATCCTCAAATTGCCAATAAAGAAAAGCACTGTAGGACTCCTTGGTGAGAGCAAAGGGGGCCCTGAGTGAAAAAAAAATGTTTCTAGAGGGAAGGAAAACATTTTTTAATGAAATGCCAATATTTTATCTTTACTTACCTCAGAAGCTGAGTAAATGTTATTCTGGAAAAGGGGTAAGGTCTAATGGACCACTCCAAAACACTAGAGAAGCCTTAGGAAGAGTTTGGAGAAGTCACCAAAGATCAAAAAATAATGCCTTATTCATAAAGATTTTTTCAATCCCTGTACTAAACATCCCTAGCTCCTTTGTCGCATCAGCATCTGTGCTGGCAAACACGGTGATTTCTCTCCACAGAACCTGACTTTCATGGAAATGAAAAACAAAGGATTACAAAAGAGAAGCAGAGTGTGATGTGTTTCTTTACAGCTAATTTCTTGATTCTCATTTGGATTTCTCTGACTAGGATCCCTTAAGCATAATGACTTGTTTTATATACCCAGCCAACATTCCTTTATAGTTTCTATACTTTGCAGAGCCTTTTCTAAAGAAATTAAAAAGAAATAGAAAATATGGCCAAAATTTCTCACTACTGACTGTACATGGAAAATACACCCGAAATGATTTGAAACTAAGCATATCAGTACAATATAATGGCTTTTCTGTGCCATTCATGTAGATCAAACTCTTGGGTGCCTTAGATGCTCCCATCATTAAAAGAGCTTCATGTTAAGTATTGAGGTCTTGAACTACTCCCTTTCCTACCTTCTCCTGGCTCAAATTCAGATTCCATGATGTATCCTTTACTTTGATATAATAGAGATAATTTCCATGGACTGTGAAAATGTCTCACTGTATTGATTTGGATTAATAGTATAACGACAAAAAAAAGGTAGTCTAAGGACAAGTTGAAATAGGTTGGATAATCAGCTAAAAGTCTGCAAATGAAACTTGATTCTTTACCTCTTGTGTACTTTAGTTACATTTTTTGGTAATATTAATGATATTTTCAAGGGTTTTTATTACAAATATTTTTAAAACTTTTGTTTTCCAAATTACAGATATAAAATAGTCTTGTGGTTAAAAAAACAAAAGACATAGTTGTGTATGTATGTGCATTACATAAAAGTCGGACTTCTCACTATCTCACTCCCCTAGCAGCCTGAAATGACCCATTCCACAGCTTCTTCTTTATACAAATTTATTGAAGCATGTAATCACAAATGAATTGGTTGTTGTTATTGAAATAAAATCATGTTGTATGCAATTTGCTTTGTTTACTTGGTGTGCTGGATATCCTTGCAAGTTAATAGTTATGGCACTAATATAATCTATATTTGTGGCTATGTATTTATTAGCACACATTTTAATTTTCTGTAAGTGAGGATCATAACACTTTCTGTAGAACATGACTTTTTCATTTTATTTTAACTTCTGTTATTAGTATTCACTTTTACCATGTTTTATGGAGTGTAAACTTCTCTCTCATATGTCATCTTACTCTTAAACACTATGAGGTAGTT